CGGGCAGTGTAAGATATGACAAAATAATAATTTATAAATTATCAATGGTTCATGAAGGAGGGGGTAGTGGGGAGGGAGGAGGGAAGAAAAATGAGGAGCTGATTCCAGGAGCCCAAGCAGAAAGCAAGAGTTTTGAGAATGATGAGGACAACAAATGTATAAGTGTGCTTTACACAATTGATGTATGTGTAGACTGTGATAAGAGTTGTATAAGCCCCAATAAAATGGTTTTTTTTTAATCTCTCTTTCTGGGATGCAAGTGAGCACCACAACTTGAAAGATTCGCAAAGCTTCTTATTAGGGAGGGTAGTGAGTGTATGTTAATATCAGAGGAACACCTCAGAGAAAGGATCGAGGAGGTTGACACACCTCTAAGATTGTCATCAGTGTCACTGAATTGTACATCTAGAAATATTTGTACATCTAGAACTGGTGTATATTTTGATGTGCATATGCACAACATCACAACAAAGTAACAATTTTTTTAAGTAGAAATAAGGTTAGAAGATATAAACCATTCTTGCATTAACTCTTTTCATACTCAGAAATTGGTATTTGCTTTATTGATCTTTTAAAAGTTATTTTAAGACTGCATTAGATCCACTTTTAACCTAGGTCTCTAAATTATCTTTGGCAAAAAGCAGTAAAATAATTCCATCCAACAGAGCATAAAGAATATGAATGCATAGATGCCAGTCCTGAATGCACTGCATTGAAATGATGGGGGCATGAGTAACGTTACCTTAAACCTACAAGATTCCAGTTCCTGTAAGAAAAATATGAATCTTTAAAATTCATACTATACAAAGCACCATAGCCTGTGAGATTTGGTAAAAGCAAATATTACATCTGTTGAATATGAACTGACTTTAATTTTCATATCCAGTAACATCTCTAGATAATAATAAATGAAGGCACATTTGTATTTTTAAAATAGATGTGCATTTCATAATGAAATGGATGAATCTTTTGAGATATGATCCATTAATGACTGTCTTTATTTTGTACTTCAGGATGATGCTTTCCAAGACATAAAAATGTATCTGCTAGTAATGATTCTAATTTGTTAGATTTTGAATAATACTAGTAAGAGGTTTTCCCATCTCTCTCTCTCTCTCTCTCTCTCTCTCTCTCTCCCTCTCTCTCTCTCTCTCAATAGGAGTGAGCTGAGTCGACAGAAACTTCATACCCAAGAGCTGCTTTCGCAGCTGGAAGCGGCAAATGAAAAGGTAGTTGAGGTAAGATAAGCGGTCCCTGGGGGAGAACTATCTGCTTCAGCTTGATACACATGTTACAGAATTTTATTTCAGCCAAGTCCAGAGTCTCTATTTGGAACTGGCCATAAAGATGTATTTCTTGTGGAAACTACTCTTAAGCCTAAAAATCCACACTTGACATAATGTGACTAAAGCTTTGAAAATCAGCAGTTCATCATCTATAATTACTAAAAGGTAGAATCCTCATTTCTGTTTTACTGGGATAACGTGTGCGGTGTTTCAGAGAATGTGTTAGAATCCTTTTTAGTTTTATTCACATCTAAGATTATTCGTTCCAAACCCATTCCACTTATTTCATTTTGGTCCATCACAAAAGACACAAGAAAATACTGTTGCCTACTGGACTCTTAAAATACCCCATTTAGACTAATACCTTAGAGCTAAATATAGCCAAAATGCATCTTTTTTACCGTTAGGTTTTTTAAAAAATAAACAGTATCTAGATTATGATTGGGGATATGGGGAACCTCCAGTTCTTCACTTAATGTTCTAGCTTTGAAATTCTGTTAGTCCATGGGGTCCACTATCTCCATGTGATTTTTCTAGGGAAGCCATGCTCGTAACCACTGTAACATTGTGGATTTATATGAGCCAGTTCGAAAACAAACAGGATCCATGGAAATACTCTTTGACGTAGCTACCACTTTCCGGAATCTGTTCTAGGGGAATAATGTACAATAGGAACATTTCAAAAGGGAAACAGCACTAAAATGTTGATAATAGCGTAAGGCGATTGAAAAGAACTGTTGCAGGTATTGTGCTTTCCCTAGTCTGCGTTATGCCTGCTCCTCACTGCCATCGAGGCAATTCTGACTCGTACTGCTCCTGTCAACAGAGCAGATGTGCCGCTCTGGGCTTCCGAGCTGGCAAGCTTCACAGGAGCAGAAAGCCTCGTCTTTCTCCCAAAGGGTGGCTGATGATTTTGAAATGCTAACCTTGTGGTTCACGGCTGAAAGCATAACGCACAATCCGACCAGGGCTGCATGGATTATTCCCAGTAGCAGTATAGGGAGACAAAGGAAGTACACTCTATTTGCTCTGACTTTAACTATAAAATTACTAATTATAGATTATGGGAATTTTCCCTCAAGTTTTCTTTAATGTTTATGATGAGCCTCTTAAAATCTTAGATGACAGGTATACATCACTTAACATCCACAGTATGTTCTGTGACATGTAGAACATTATGCGATTTGGACATTGTACAAACACCAGTGGGAAGAGAATGCTTTGAAAATGTTGAAGGCAGCATATGTACAAATGTGCTTGACACACTGGATGAATGGATGGATGGTGATAAGAGATGTAAGAGCCCCCAATAAAAGTATTTAATTAAATTTTTTTTAAAATAGAACCTATGGAAGCCTGCTTCTGGTTGCCTTTGTAGCCTGTGCTGCCGTGGCTGGAGCTGCTGACAGGTGGAGGAGTGGAGCAGCAGTGGCTATGGTGGTGGAAGCAGCGCCAGATCAAATGAGCAGCCAGGGCCCCATGATCCATCCCTATCTCACCTGCCAACCACACAAACAGAGGTCTCAGGGTCATGTCTTCAGCCTCAACTGCCTATAAACTACCTGAGGTCCAATGCTGCAAGATGCTGGGTTTGGGATCTTTAAACACTATAAATCTTTATGGGGCAAATAGCCTCCTCTTTCTCTGACAGCACCTGAGGGATTTGAAGCCTAACCTCACGGCTACCAAACCCAACCAAAGCCATTGCCTTTGAGTCAATTCCAACTCTAATAACCATAGAGAGCGGGGTACAACTGCCTGTATGGGTTTCTGAGACTGTACTTTTTATTTTAATCATTTTAATGGAGGCTCTTACAGCTCTTATAACATTTCATACATCAGTTGTATGAAGCATATTTGTACATATGTTGCCATCATGATTTCTCAACATTCACTTTCTATATGAGCCCTTAGTATCAGCTCCTCTTTTTTCCTGCCCTCCCTCCCCCTCGCACCCTCCTAACCCCTTGATAAATTATAAATTATTATTATTTTCATATCTTACACTGACTGCTGGTGTTTTTGAACTGCTGACCTTAGCAACCCAGTTAGCAACCCACCATACCACAAGGGCTCTTCATGAGGGTTCCCTTAAAGGAGAGCTGCTTTCCTTTAAAAACACAAAACCAAAAGCACCTTATGGTACCATTAGAACCATGTAGCCAGATGTTGCCCAAATAGATGTTCAGCAGTACCTCCCTGTATTTATTTAAATACCTTGGTACATTGGAATAGCCAAAATATGAGAAAACATCAAAAAGTTCTTGGAAAAATGGAATTAAAAAATAATGGAATTTATCAATGAGTTTTTTTAAACACCCTCTTCATAAATTTTAATTTCTGCTTCTGGGCATAATAAGAAATGTATTAAATTCATTTTAATAGGAGGCTAATATTTCAATATTTCATATTACAAGCATAACATTCACTGATCTCACTTGTATTTTATGACTTGAGAACTCTAGTTTTTCATAGAAAATATTTTCTTGTCATTATTCATCGGTTTATATTATCCTCTCAATTCCAATAAGTGCCAGAAAAACAGTATAACAATTCTAGTTGTCAAAAACAAGAAGAGTTGTTTCTTGTGTGAAATCTTCGCATGTAATGTGAGTATGACAGATACAAGCTAGAAATACCAATTAAAATGGAGCCATAGGCCAGACCTAAAATAAATCAGATCAAGAAAAAGGTTTTAGAAATAGTTGCTCCTGGAGCTGTGCCCATAATATTCTATGACTTGTGGTACATATCAGACTGCGAATGTGTACTGCTGGGTGCCTGATAACCGAAGATTGTCCATGAGGAGGGACAGTGTACTTTTCAATTCATGGATTGGTTGACCTCATCTGCATGACAGCATGTTAGGACAAATGTCTATTCATGATGCTGAATAGTTCTATGGACCCTAATAGCCACTGGAGTACACAGTGTATTGGAGAAGTACAGAAACAGTTTCTCCTTTTTCTCAATACCTGAGCCTTGGTGGCATCGTGGCTGCATGTTGAGCTGCTAACCACAAGGTTATTAGCATTTCAAAGCCACCAACCAGCACTGCGGGAGAAAGGCCAGGCTTTCAGCTCCTGTGAAGAGTTACAGCCTCAGAAACTTACAGGGACAGTTCTGTCTTGTCCTGTGGGGACGCTATGAGTCAGCATTGAATCCATAGCAGTGAGTTTTAATACATAAATCATTTAGGATGAGACTAACTTTTTAAAAACTAAGATTCCTAGAATGCATGTTATCTGTTCTTTGAAATGTAACAGTGATGATTTCATAATTTCCCAAGAAACTTGGTACCGCCCAGTTGTTCTCAAACCAGTACCATCTTTACCAGCAGGGGACTTAATCAAAGTGCACATTCCCAGGTCCCTCCAGACCCGCGGACTCGGAGCCTCTGGT